TTCTTTTGTCATCTTGAATCATCTGCTGAGCCCCTCTAGTGAGTGTTCTTCTTCATTATTGTACTTTTCAATGCCAAAACTCCAACTTGATTCTTTTTTATAATTTCTGTTTCCTTATTCAGAGTCTCCATTTGCTGAATCATTTTGCTCTACATTCCTATAATTATTTAAACATAGTTTTTAGTTGCTTGAAAATATTTATAATAGATGCTTTAAAGTCTTTGTCAACATCTAGAGACACTTAGAGATAGTTTCTATTGGCTTCCCTTTACTGGGTCACATTTTCTTGTTTCTTTGAACATCTCATTTTGTTGTTGAAAACTGGACATTTTGGAGAGTATATTACAGCAACTGTGGATTCATATCTCTCCATTATCCAAGGCTGTTTCTGTTGTTTGTTTGCTTTTTTGTTTAGTAACTTGCCTAGGCTAAATCTGCCAAGTCTGTCTTCCCTATAGTGTGTGGCTCTAAAGTTTCTGCTCTTTTTATTTTATGTTTTTATTTTTAAACCTGGCTGCTGAGGGGTTGCCTCTCTATCTGCTTAGCTTTGAGGTCAGCAAATGATTGATCAGAGGTTGTGCTTATATGTCAGTAAGTCTTGTGTTTCCTGCCATTGGATCTGTGGCTGGATGGGGAACACACTCAAAGTTTAGGTGGTTTTTGTCTGCCTTGGCTTTTATTTTATGCTGGGCCCTTGGCCTCTCCTCCATGCACACAATATTAGAGTCAGTCGTAAGTATGCGAATAACCAACAGTCAGCCGTTTTTCAAGCATAAACATTGTTGGATACCTTTATTCAACTTCCAAAGCACTGAAATGGTCATCTTTTTATTTTTAAATGAGTTCCATCTACTTTCATAGTTCCATTTGCAGGGAGAGGATTTGCTGACCTCCTCACTCTCTTAGTAATTTTTTTATCTTGGCAATAGTTGAAAGGATGCTCGCCTTAGAGTCGTTGCTCAATCCAACTTAGTATTTACTGTGAACTAGACACAATACTGGACACTGGGGGCTACAAAAATGAGTAAATCCATTGTTGTTGCCCCCAAGATATCCATCAAGGGAGACATAGAGAATGAAACTTAGAAGTGGGTGGGTAGGTGGAACTAACATTAATTGAGCAATTACTACATGCCAAAGTCCATAGTAGAGCTCTTACACACATTATTTTATTTAATAATAGGATTAACTAGTACTTTCTTGATCTCCATGTGAAACAAAATTAAGTATTAAGACTATTTAAAAATATATTTTTTAAATATAGAAACGCATAAAAAAGAGGAAAATATTCTATAGTCTGATTCTGTATATATCCACTAAAGTTGCTTCAGGGCAAAAAATTACACAAAAAGTAGTATATGAATATGGTTAGTAATTTTCAAAAGTACAAAAAGATATAAAAAGAAAAGTGAATATCCTGCTTCACTTGTTTCTTACCCAAAAGTCAATCACCTTTAAAAATTTCTTTCAAATTTCTCTTAGAGATTTTTTTACATATATTGGCATTTGTGTGTCTATGGTTATGTGTGTTTATATATTTGTTCAATTATGCTAAAAAGATTATACTTTAATGCTATTATGTACTTTGTTTTCCACTTTTTACTTCATCTTGAAGATTTTCTCATATCAGTACATGTAGAAAGACTTCCTTTAAAGTTGTACAATATTCTACTGTATAAACATGCCAGTTTGGTATTACTTAGGTTGCTTTCAGTTTTAGATTGATACCAGCAATTCTGCAATGAATATTCCAGTTCATGTATTTTGAAAAACATATTCAAGTATGTTTCTGGGGTAAATTCTTAAAAGTGAAATTACTGGTTATATCCATACATTTTTTTTAATAGGAATTGGCAAGTTGTCCTCCAAAAAATGCACATTTACTCTTCTAACATTTGTTTATGAGCTAGCCTGTTTCTTCCACTACCCCATCAATCCTCAATAATCTCAAATCTAATGGGTGGATATTTGTATATTACAATTTCTAAAAGCCCATATATCCTAGAATACATACAACCAATGAATGTTTTTTAAATACTCTTAAATTGTTTGTGCTAGCACTGTTAAAAATCTTTATCAAACTCCTTCTTGGGAATGAGTTTAAGAACAATTCAGTAGTTACCCACCCCAAAATCACTTCTTACTTAATATTCCATTTAATTTGGATCACAAATGATATTCCTTACCTTCAGCGGTCACCCCGAGGATTAGTTTGGGGACTTTGACCCCTCCTTTCAGTAATAGCTATCAACCATTCAATAATAAGCTAAAGAAAAGGTAGTAAGTAAACTGTGAATAAAAGAATCTCTGGAAAAATTTCTATTTGTAATGATTTGTATCATATAGTCAAAACCAAATGAAGAATCTCAGTTCAAGCTTCAAAACAAGACTACTACCTGCTCACCCTCCCTCAGTTCCTGATCACCAACCTCTCCATATATAAATTCAGAAGGTTCCAAGTCAAGAATTTTATTCATAGGGCTTTGGAGTAAGACAGTGTATGGTAATGCCACTCATTCATTATTTTATTCAACAGATATGCATTGAGCAGCCACCCTACCAAGTACTGGGGTGGATCTTGCACATGTAATTATTAACAAAAAGAAACCTGGTTTTCATGGAGCTTATAGTCTAACATGAGAGACAGGCATTAAGCAATTATACACACAATACATGTACATAATTAAAAACTTAAGCAAATGCCATGAATAATAGCTAATGTTTATTGCATGCTGACTATACAGTAGGTGCTATGGTAAATGTTTTATAGATATTATGTCATATGAACTTCAACAACTCTGAGGTACATATTATAATTATTATAATTATAATTATTATCATCTTCCATGTAAGACTCAAAAAAAAAGGGATGAAAATTCCCCAAGTCACAGCTAACAAGTGATGGAGGTATGTTCTGATTCCAGGCAATCTAACTTCAATGGCTGTGAACCTAACCACTGACATTACTACCCTTTTCTCTGTGTGAATGCGTTTTAGAAAACTGACCTAATACAGGGAGTTCAGAATTGCCTGAGGCAGACCATGTTGGGACTTGCAATCCATGTTCAACACATTTGAACTTCATCCCCAAGAGTGTCAGGAAGCTATGGAATGATTTTAAGGAGAGAAAAATATAATCAGATTTGAGAGTTGAAAAGATCATTCTCGGAAATGGGTTAGAGAGGCAAGTGACGCAGCGAAGCCAGTGAGGAGGTTACTGCAGAGGTCTGCGTGAGAGAGAATGCTGTGGGGACTAGGTTCATGATGGTAGAGATGCGCAAAGTGGATGAACCTGAGAAGAAGCAAGGACAGGAAGACGCAGAAGATAAAAATGCTTCCTTTGTATCTGGCTTTGAACACTGGTGATATCTTTCATTGAGAAAGGAGGAAATGGCTGAGGACCAGGTTTGGGAGAGGAGAGCTAAGGTTCTATGAAATCATTTTGAGATTCCCAAGTGGAGTTGTCCAATAGACAGTAGGATATCAGTGTAAAGTTCAGAGGTCAGCTCCAGGTTAGACATGAGTGGGAGTGACTGGCATGTAGCTGGTTGGGCTGCTGTGGGGAAGGCGACATCAACCAGGGAGGGAGCTCTGGCATGGATGGAAAGAAGCCATTCTACCGTGAGGATTTCTGACAATGAATGGCAGTTAGAGGAGAATAAACTGGAAAATTAGACTGAAAAAAAGCCACCAAAAAGTGCAATGTACAGGAGCCAAGGGAGAAGAATTATTTTAAGAGGGAGTGAAATGACAGTATGATCAAATGCTGCTGAGAGGTTAGGTAACACAGGAATTTTTTTAAAATGTCATTTAGATTTGATGGATAGCAGTGGCACTCTAGGATTTTTCTATTCCTCTATCATGTTGAACCAATTATCAAATTAGAAACAGTAAACTACATTTAGTTTAACGTTGAGTAAAAATGGTTTTGTCAAGTACTTTTTAGTTATATTCTTAGCTTGTATTGAGAGACAATGTACGAAATTATTTTTAAAAATAACATTTTTGCCTCCTGTGGAAACCATTCTTGAACACATCAAAGACATAATTCATTATGTTATTCAATAATTTGTATACAATGATTTTCTTGAAAATATTCCCTTAGAATTTAGTGCCAGCAAAAAGTTCCTCTCTCTTAAGGAACTGGCAAGTTTCCTTTTATTGAACAAAGAAACAATATAACCTCATTATATTACTGATAATATTAACTCTACCTATAACAATATGATCTAGATATAACCAGGAAATTCAGAGCTATACTTAATTTTGAAGAGCTCTAAGTTTAGTCAATTAATTAACTAATTAATATCCTGCTTCCTTTATATAGGTTTTGCTCTCTGACTTTATCTTTTGGATATTATAGAGCATAGGGGTTTAATTTATAAAATGATTCATGTTCTTTTCAGAATAAAAGTAATTAAAAATTAACATGGAAAATAAAGTTTTATATAAATATATACATAAAAAGAAAGTATGCAAAAATAAAGTGAAAAAAGATGTAAAATAAATAGTCTGTCCACTATATTCCCAGTAAATTGTGGGGAGGTATCAGTGTAGTGGGAAGTCAGACACAATTAGGTTGAAATCTGGCCCCACCACATGCTAGCAGTGTTACTGTGACTTAATCTAAAAGCAGATATTAGTACCTACTGAATGGGGTTGCTTCGAAGAATGAGGTAAAATACCTAGTGCATCTGCTGGCACGTGATTGAGATCCCATACAGGTTTGTTGAATGAATTTGTGAACAAATTTAAGCATCTGGCTTTGTGTAGGACACTTCAGGTACATTGTGCCATCTAGTTCTCACATCCCTGAGGGGTAGATATCAACATTCCAGCTTTATGGATAGAAAACCAATGCATTGAGAATTTAAGTACCTTGCCTCAATCCCACAGGAAATAAATTTTACTTCGTATGTGTTTGATTTCAAAGCTCTGGCCCTGTCTGTGTTGGTATGTGACCTCTGTGTTTTAACTATGTCCTATCTTTTCTTGGATAGGAGCTCTGTACCCAGATGGGACATCTGGAAGGAACAAGGATGATGACATGGTTCCTCCTGGGAAAAACTACACCTATGTCTGGCCAGTGAGAGAAGAATATGCCCCCACTGAAGCAGACGCCAACTGCCTGACCTGGGTGTACCATTCGCACATTGACGCCCCTAAGGATATCTGCACTGGGCTAATTGGCCCACTACTGGTGTGCAAGGAAGGTAAAGAGGCTCTCCCCACCGCCATCTTCCAGGGGGGACCCAGGTGTGTTAAAAAGTGTATATAAACTTCAGGTCTTGTTTTGCCTGCCTCTTTCGCTCCATACACAATGTGCCCTTGCTCCCTTTCGGTAAGATTAGAGAAATTCTTCTAACATAGAAGATCAACCTGACACCCTAGTAGGAACAATAATTTCAGACTTCTGTCTAACAACTGTCATAGCAATCTGAAACTTAAATGCTTTTTTTTTTTTTAAAGAACATTCTATATTAAGAGCTGTTCATATCACAATTATGCCACACTTAGGAAAGTGAAAAATGTAGTCAAATGACCAGGGGTGGTTTTGCTTCATTATTTCACCTGCAAAATCACTTGCCTATTTTATTCCCTACTCATTGATTTAGTGTGTCCATGCTCTGTCAATAAAGTTGACTTCCTTTAGAGATAGCTAGGTTTTCACGTCTATAGCTATGAAGACTGCTGTTTTATGACTTTCCTCTTCTACAGTTCTGTCATTTCCATTAAAGTCCTTCACTGCTTTTATGTTGCAGTTACTATTGTACATATAGATATTTGACAAACTTCAAACCTATCTGATACCACTGGCTGAAAGCAAAGCTTACCTTGATTTAGTTTACTTTGGACTTTTTTCTCTGATTTTTTTTGAATGTTTGGTAGGTATCCTGAATACATATTCAGGGACAAGGGCTGATGTGGACCGAGAGTTCATTATAATGTTTACTTTGGTGGATGAGAATCAAAGCTGGTACCTTGATGAAAATATCAGACATTTCTGCACTGACCCTGACTCAGTGAACAAAGAAGATGCCGTTTTCCAGAGGAGCAACAAAATGCACTGTGAGTGTCTCCCGCATTATCAAATACACACTGAGTGCCTTCTGTGTATCTGATACTATGAGGGAGGAAAAAACACAGAATGTCTAATGTAGTTTTCTAAGACTTATAACTCAGTGTTGAGGATGATTAGAAAGTGATTGAATAGATATCAGAACCTAAAACAATTGGAGAAGGGACAATAGACATAAGCTAAATTGGGTAGGACAAAGGTATGGCACAGAAAATGGAAGAATTAGTGTTATAATCAGGAGGTAAGCCCAGAGGATGAGGGGTGGTTTAGACTGAAAGGAGAAATAAGAATGAATCATTAACAATCCTGTAGTTTGCAACTTCTTGTTTATCCAGTGACCATTTTCTGAGGTGTATTTCAGGAACTACTCTGTGTGTGGGGTGCAAATACACACTTGTGAATTCGTTGTTTTCCAGACATTCTTTAAACCAACAACATTTACTGAGCATTCACTGTGCACCAGGCCCTGTGTTTATTGAAAGTAATGAATTTCTATAGTTATGCTGTCCACTGAGACAGAACACCTACTCATGCTTGTTTTGGAGAGTAGTGGCTTAAAGAAGAATTTTAGGAAGTGGGGATTAATAAACATTCCCCTCCTTCCTGAACATAAAGGCCATCTTCAGTATCAACAAACACCCCTGTCATTCATTCATTGACAAATTTCCTTCATCTTTGCCTGTCTCCCCAAGTCATCCTAACCAAGGCAGCAGCAATATAGTCATAAACTTATAGGAAAGAGGGAAGGAGCTGAAGATCATCTGACCTTTCCCAGTTTACAGATGGAGAAACTGAGGTCCAGAGACTATCAGTGACTTGCCTAAGGTCAAAGTGATAAGGGCCAGAGTCACCTGAGAGAACCCGAGGGAGAAGTCCCACAGCAAATCAATCGTCATTTGGTTATGTTTGATTTCTTCCTGGGACTACATTTCATGAAAGGTGCCATGCTTTTCAGCACAAAAACATTATAGGCAGTGACCTGCACTACATCGTGACCTGTCCTGGGTTACAGACTGCCCTTGCTTCTGGTCTGGCTCACCTGTGCAGGGGAGTCCCCTCCACTCATGTGTTTCTCTTTTGCAGCCCTCAATGGATACGTCTTTGGAAACTTCCCTGAGCCTGAAATGTGTGTGGGTGAATCTGTGTCCTGGCACCTCTTTGGGATGGGGAATGAGATAGACATCCATTCCATCTATTTTTATGGTAACACCTTCATCAGCCGAGGACGTCGGACTGATGTCGTCAACTTGTTCCCAGCCACCCTCCTGACAATAGACATGATAGCTGAGAATCCTGGGAAGTGGATGATAACTTGCCAAGTTAATGATCACCTACAAGGTAAAAAAAAAAAAGACAAAGACCAGTGTGGAGATGCCTAGAATGCTACAATTAAACCACACAGTCGATGAGGCTCATTCAGTGTCTGCTGTTAGATTCTTGTATATATTATATTTAAGTATTAATTATATAGGAAAATGTGCAATGCTAATTTATTTACCATCCTATCAACAGATATTTATTGAGCACTTTCCTATGAACAAGGCAGGAAGTGATGGAAAGAAGTGATAAGATTTTCAAGGGGCCTACAACCTAGTACTGAGACATAGGTAGACATCTACAAAATGAATAAAATTTGAAACAGAATGATAAGTGCTCTTTGGGTGCTATAATCACTTTTCCGGAGCAATCAGAGAGGCTTCCAGAGGAACTGGCTCCTCACCTGAGCCTTGAAACATGGGTAGGAATTGAACAGATGAAGAAAGGAAGAAAGGCTTGCCAGGTAGAGGAAGTAATATAAACTGGGAAAAGGACATGTTCTATGGGAGCAACTGTAAATGGAATAATGAATTTTTAACCTGGAAAGTAATTTATACATAATCTGGATCAATCCCTCATTCAATTCCTGAATTTGCTTTGTAATCTCTCTCAAGTCACTATAGCAGTCCATTTCATTTCTGGGGTGCTCTGTTAGGATGTTCCTCCTTACACTGAGACAAGGTCCATTTAGTTTCAAAATCCTATGATAGGTGCACGATAAACATTTGCTGATTTAAATGCCTGTTGAATGACTTAGCCCTGGTTCCCTGGGACCATATAGACCAGGTCTTTACTCCACTGGACCCTGGGCTCATGGCAGAGGAACAATGAGAGAAAAATCTAGAGAGGCAGACTGGGTCCCCATAGTAAGAGCTTTATTTAAATGGCAAGGCTGAGGAGGTGGGACTGTGTCTGGAAGGCAACAGTGAGTCCTTCTAGATCCTTAGGCACACCAGTGACATAATCAGTGAGGCAATTTAGGAAGATAAATATGATACCCATGTGCAGAAAAGATTCAGTGGAGAGATTCTGGCCATTGGATGCTAGTTAAGAAGTACTGGTAGATTTGAGTTATGACATTATAAAAGGTCTGGCCTAAAATGGTAAAAACAAGAATAGAAAAATTTAAATTGAAATAAAATAAAATCACATATTTTTTTTCTTCAGTGAAAACTGAAAAAAAAATGTGTGATTAAATTTGGATACTGACAAACAACACACAGTCACTAATAGTTACAAGGATGCAACTCTTTAGGGTTTCTTTGATACCACATTCTTGTTCCCACCAAGCTTAAACAGCTAATCTTAGCACTAGTCAGCTGGGTTATTCCAGTGAAATTCAACTCAGCACATGATCAGTTAATATGTACCAGATTCTGTTCTGGGAAGACAAATATGAAAACGCAAAGTTCCTATTCTCCCCACCCACCCCAGTTTTACTGCTGTATAATCGACAGATAGGAATTGTATGTAGTTAAGATGTGCAACTTAATGTTTGGAGGTATGTATTCATATCGAACTGAACACTCCAGCTAATTAACACATCCATCACCTGCATAGTTTCCATTTTGTGTGTGTGTTTGTGGGAAGACCACTTGCGGTCTCAATGGGTACAAAGTTCCCATTATGCAAGATGAATGAGCTCTGGAGATCTCATGTACAGTATAGTGACTGTAGCCAATATTGCATGATGCATTTGAAATTTCCTAAGAGGGTAGATCTTAAGTGTTCTCACAGCAAGATCCCTATTCGTGCAGGGTCCCATGCTGTTAAATGTGGGAAGAAACTAGTTTTAAAATAATTAGCACCTCAGAAACAGTAAAATTGCTAAGGTTGCAGAGTAGTTGTGGATATAACCTGGTGTTTATACATTACTGTATATAAACGGTCCAAACTCTCAGAAACAATTACTGTAAAAAAATTTGAAAGTACATATATTTGATTTTGAAAATCAGTAATTCCATTTTGAGATAATGGTGTCACATTTTCCTTTTCAAAAATTTATGATTTATATTTATTAATCTTATATAAATTAGATTTATTTTGCTGTCTATCCTTCCTCACCATTTTCTAGATTTTTTCACGTAAATGCATGTTATTTATAAAATGAAATCAATCTATTAATTACTATCCTGTAGCTTATTTTCTTTTATTAATATATCAGAAATATATTTTCATGTTTGTGAACATAAAGCTACTTCGTCATTGCTAATCCTTCCAGTTTCCTTGATAAGGAGATTAGTACGATTTACTTAACCAATACTCTACTGCTTAACACTTACATTTTCCCCCATTTTTTCTTGCTATGATAAACAGTATCATTTATAAACATCAATTTATAGATAGTTCTATATTTCTGTCTGACAGTTGAAGGAAAACTTCTAGATTCAGAATTCCTGGGTCCAAAAATTTAAATGTTCATAAAGTCAAATCTTTCAGTCTTTCCTGTGTGATTTCTTTCTGAGCATTTGTATCTTGGCTTATGATTTTCCTCTGTTTGGCAGCTGGTATGCTGGGACAATACAATGTTGGTAACTGCAAAGGTGATATTTCGCACCCCAAGATGAAGGGTCAAGAGAGGCACTACTTTATAGCAGCTGAAAAAATTCTTTGGGATTATGGTCCTCAAGGCTATAACAAGTTCAGTGGTCTTCCCCTAAATGCCTCTGGCAGGTAAGCACTCTTTGCTTAAGCCTCTCATAAGAGATGCATCTCTTAGTCTTCTCCCCATGACCTCATTTGTCCTCCAGGCACTGCTCCTGTGAGCGCGCACTGCTCCTGTGAGCGCGCACTGCAAAGATGGCATAATGACACCACTTCGGAGTTTGGAGTTCGGAGCCCCATAATGTATACACTGCTGAGAGCTGGCAGCGTGTATATTGTTTCACAATTTACTGGCTAAGTCAAAGCCATTGTCATTTCATTCATTTATCAAGCATTTCTTGAGCACCTACAACGTGCAAACTGCTATACTAAGTGCCATGGGAATTAACAAACTGATGGAGACTAGGGTAAGGCCTTTGCACATATGGAGCAGACAGATTTGAAGAGAGTAACACAGGGCTCTCTTTCAATGGAGAAGAACTAGCCAAGGAAAGTTACACTTTTCAGTTTAAGGTCAGCCTGATGTATGTTATACCCCTCTACTGAGAATGTCCTTTTCCTCTCTGTCTAGTAAAATTCCATCTTCTCTTCAAGATCTAATTCAAATGTCACCTCTTAAGTGAAGTTTCCCTGACTCCTGAGTCATTGTTCGTCATTTTCTCCTGGGCTCCCAAAGCATATAGTATTTTTTTAATTGAGTCTAACAATTAATTAAGTAGATGTGGACTCCTGCATCTTGTTATTATAGAATCATATACAATGATGTCTATGAAAGCATTTAAAAGTGTATAGTACAATATCACAAATGATTGCAATTACCCTATGATTTTTTTATGTTTGAGGGAATGTTTTAAAATTCTCTTTGTGATTAGTAAGACACACTTTGTTGCTTTCATTGTAAATTTCATTAATTCATTCATTCTTCCACAAAACGGATGCACTTGAATGTTGCCTAAAAAATCTGTGTAAGCCATATATGATAAAAAAAACTCTTGGAGAGCAACATTCTTTATTGACCAGTATTTCTCCATGAACAGAATGAGAATTAGCCATCAATGTCTTAGAAGCCTTCCAGAATTCTGAAGCACCTTATAAAACATGAAATGTAAAATTAAATTCAACTAATATTTAATGTGATACATGAAAGCACTATTTTACTATGGGACATGAGGGATGCAAGGTCTAAAACAATGTTTCCACCCTGAGGTGGAGAAAAAAGCTGTATGCAGAGAAGAAAAGTAACTTTCCAAGTTACAAATAAGACTAAGATGAATCACTAAGAGAGCCAGACAATACTTGCCAGAGAAAGCTGGACTTAAGCAGAGTCCTGAAAAATGACAGAATTCATCTAAGTGAGTAGTAAGGAGAAGGGAGTTTAGATGCATGGGTTGGTCTTTAGATCAGAATTACAGGTTGGGGATTTGCATAGGGCATCTGTAAAGGGCAATAGGCAGAGAAGTGGGGTACACTGGATATCAATTGCAGAAGTCCTATATTCCTTCCAAAGTTTATTTTTGTATGCTGAGAAACAAACGGGGTGCACCAATGTTAGACAGAGGAAGCAGCGTGTGCAGCTAGAGGCTGATATAGTGGTCCAAACGCATGGTGAGGAGGGCATGTACTGGGTTTGTGGCAATGGGAAGAAAAGAAAGGAAGAGATGCAAAGTGGACACAGAAAAATGAAGGGTGCATAAAAAGGCTACAAAGTAAGGCTGGACAAGGTAGGAAGATGAGGTAGAAAAAGGAGCCAAAAAGCTTGTGTGCCTGCAAGAGTGATGGTGCTATTGACAGAGACAGGGTAGGCTAGAGACAGTACTGGTCAGAATTTATGTTATTGTTTTTTACAAGTTTAAGTGTGGTGTTTCATGCTTTTGGTTTATATGATAACTCTCCATTAAAACATCTGATTAACTAGACACTCCACTCCTTAATCATGACAGACATCAGAGTTTACTCTATGCAGAGACTATTCATATTGACATCAGCAAGAGATAGAGGGATGCTTATTCTGCAAAGAAACCAGTTAGCTCTTTGTTACTTTGTAGGACACCCTCTGGGACTCCAATACTGGTAAGTAAGGTGTTTACTTGTGCTTTCTTTGGTTGCTGGACCTCTGGGGAAGAGAGTACAAAGGCTAAGACAGAAAAGAGCTTGAGCAACATCCAGCTTCAGAAGACTTTTAAAGCTGGGTGACTTTTCCAGGGCACTTTGCTGAAGATTGTGCTGTTTTTTTTCCTGGGGAAATGGGTGGGCAAATGGACTAAAGATGATAAAATGAAGCTCCATAATTAAGGCATTTGGTGAATATATGTAGAGATGTATTCTCAATCAGGTTCCTATTTTTTCCACAGTGACTCAGAGCCCTATTTCACACAAGGGGATGCCAGGATTGGAGGAAAATATTGGAAGGCTCAGTACAAGGAGTATGTCGATGCAACTTTTACTCAAAGAAAGAGACTCTCTGAGGCAGAAGCACATCTTGGAATCCTTGGTAGAGTAACACCATCAGTCATGTTTTGAATGGATAGGGGGAGTTGTCGTCGTGGGGCATATACAATATGTAGAGATGTATTCTCAATCAGGTTCCTATTTTTTCCACAGTGACTCAGAGCCCTATTTCACACAAGGGGATGCCAGGATTGGAGGAAAATATTGGAAGGCTCAGTACAAGGAGTATGTCGATGCAACTTTTACTCAAAGAAAGAGACTCTCTGAGGCAGAAGCACATCTTGGAATCCTTGGTAGAGTAACACCATCAGTCATGTTTTGAATGGATAGGGGGAGTTGTCGTCGTGGGGCATATACCCTGGGGTGCCTCTTCTTCTCCTGCCCACATTCACTTTTCTCTGCCTCTTTTCATCTCTTCTCCTTCCTCCCCCTCTTGATATTTTTCAGGCCCCGTCATCAGGGCAGAGGTGGGTGACACCCTGTTAGTGACTTTTGCTAACAAAGCCGACCATGTTTACAGCATTTTGCCCCATGGCGTGATCTATGACAAGGCCTCTGATGCAGCCCCAAACATAGATGGTAAGTCTCAGCCTGGGCTTTGGGAGGAAACAGGATGAGTAAGCGAAGGGCTTAGAACTAGACAGACCTGGTTCAAATCCTGGTGCCTTCACTGACTAGCCTTGTGAGCTTGGGTAATTGTTGCAACTTTCTGAACCTTATACTTCTCCTCTATACACCATAAGCAGGGCATGCAGGGCTTTAGGAAACCTGAGAGAATTCAGGACAGGGTCTGGGCCACAGTAGGTACCTAGGAAATGTTAATTCCTTTCCTTTTCCCTCAGTTATGTAATAAATGTCAAAGCAAGCTATGTTCACAGTCATCCCCCTTCTCTAGGATGGAGAGCTTTTCTGCTACAGAATGAGATTCTGGAGGTGAAGGCTGAGGGGAAACTCTGACTTCCAATGTTTTGTTGACATCAAAATCTTACACATGGTCTTTGCTCTATATCTGCCAACAAGTGTGTATTTAAAACCAGCATTATGTGTTTACCACTATGTATGGTCTCTCCCCAGCACAGAGTAGGTGGCAAAGACTCTCTACATGTAAGAAAGGCAGCTTCTGCCCAGTAACTGCAGGAACTATCCCTCCATTCATGATACTGCTCCTGGGAAACTCCTGGTCTCCTTGGAAGCCTTCCCTATCACTGCAACAGACATCGTGACTGCCTGGCATATTTCTTCATCCCAAGTAGGAGGCTAGGCCCAGGGCCAGAGCAGGCTTTGTGGTGATGGTGAGGGGACAGAGAAGGAAGGAATGAATGGAGGGAGGATTGCCCCTCCCCAAGTCTACCCTCCCCATCCACAGCTACCACAACACCTCCTGTACCTGCATTCTCTTTCTTGGTCAAAATGCTCACGATGGCTTTCTGTGGCTTGCTGAAGTGACAGTCCAAAAGTCTATGTTTTCTTTTGTTTAACTCAGAAAACTTACTGGGCACCTTTTTTGCAAAGCTCTGGACAAGATGCAGAGTCTCTGTCCTCGATCTGGAGATTTAATGTGTTCATTGGTGGTATAATGTAAGGGTTAAGTGCAGTCTTTGGAATCAGGCAGCCCTGAGTTAGAATCCCAGATCCGCCATTTATCACTTTGTAACCTTGGACATTCACTTATCCCCTCTATCTTGTAGTTATTTGGGTTATTTCCTAGTTCAGTCTTCTAGATTTCAAACTCTTTGAAAATAGGTTTCTTGCGTAACTTTTTGGGGTATCCTCTGCAGGCTATATCCCATATAGAAGGCACTCAGTGATATTTTATGGATTTGTATTTCATTGTTAAATGGCAGTTGTCACTCTTTTAATATTTGCTAACCCTAGTATTTGAGTAAGAAATAGTATCTATGAAGACACTAAATGTAATCTAAGAAGATTATAATCCTTTGATATAAGCTTCTATCCCATAAAACAACAGCCTGGCAGTGGCCTCACTGGTAAGATACATAAGCAAAAACATCTGTCCTTCCATAAAATACATCATCAGAGAAGACACGCAGGGCTGGAAGACTCAGTATGATAAATTTAATGTTCTTGGTTATTATTTTCAGTAATTGCTTCATTTATCTCTTCAGGATTTGTGAAGCCGGGTGCACATGTTAAGCCAGGTGAAACCTTCACGTACAGGTGGACAGTGCCTGAAAGTGTAAGCCCAACAGCTGATGATCCCCACTGTCTGACCTACCTTTACTTCTCAGCGGTCGAGGCGATCCAGGACACCAGCGCTGGCCTTGTAGGGCCTTTGCTAATCTGTAAAAAGGGCGTCCTCAATGCTGATGGGACACAGGTAGGCCACTGAAAGTCACCAAATTTTTTTCAGGATTGCATGTTGGAGAAATCAGTAATATGTCTAGAGATTAGATATTAAGAGTCAGTAACAAAAGGCAAATTTTTCCTTCTTCCTCTTGAAATTGACATAATGAGAAATTTATTTTATTTTTTATGAATGTAAGATCTGAATTTAAATTCAATTTTAATATATAATTTAAGATCTGGAAGTTATAGATGTCTACCCAGAAACTCAGAATTTCTGCTTGTTGTGGCTGGAATTTGGTAAACCTCTTTCCCTGGGCATTGCTTTGATTCTAGAATCTTCAGCATCTACAGGGAGAATGTGAATTGGAAGCGTTTCTTCTTGGACAAGGTTTTTCAAATGTGGCTACACATTAGAATGATATAGGGACCTTTTAAATAACCTTTATTCAGGTGCTCCAAAACAATTAAATTAGAATTTCAGGTGATTACAGTACGCAACCAAGGTTGAGAACCACTATAACACACCACTGTAAACTGAAAGTTAATCATTTTGGCAGAAGAAACAAGAAAGCATGTAGATAACTTCACTTAGAGTCTGTGGATGGCTGCCTTGATTAGTGTGACAAGGCATAACATTTCAAGCAATGACTACATGACATTAAACACACTGATGAAAAGAGGAAAATCCAGTCATTTTACCATTTTGAATTACTTCACCGATAGAAATTGCAAGGCTATTTATTTAAATGGTATATTTTATAATGTTTGGACTGTATGCACCCACTTCTGGGCACAAAGGAGTTTCTAGATAGAGGATGCAAACTATCTTGGTCCACCTCAGATTTTCCTTTCCCTGCACAAGGACCAATCCTGAAAATGTCTAAAAGAGGCTTAGCATGTCCTTGCCCTCAATAATGCATGTGCAGTAAGACCAAGTAGTTATACTATAACCACAACAGTCATATGAGGCAAAGCAGAATGACTATCCTTATTTTACAGCTAAAGAAATTGAGGCATTGAGGCAGTGAGTTGATACCCCAGGAAACACACCTACTAAGTAGTGAAAGTCAGCAATAGAACACAGGACTCTGAGCTTCCAACTTTGTTCTTCTAATATACTAAATACCTGCTTCCCATAGCTAAATACCTGGTAAAGTAATTGAGTGCTATAAAACTTTTTAAAGATAGTTCTCATATTGCCCCTATTGCATACACTTAATGGGAACTTTGAGGTTTGCTAGAAGGACCTCACAGCATGTGGGGGTTTTTGCCTGAGCCAAATACCGCTCTTGGTCACTACACTTACACAAAATTCATAGAAAAAAAAACCAATCTGAAACACCCCATTCCCAGGATTTGGCTGAGAGAGGCATCCCTTTGGTCAGACAGAAAGCTATTTATACAAGAAATATCTAAGAAATACATATGAAACCAGGCCCTCTATAGGTAAAAACTTAGGGCTCTTCTAAACTTAGGCAGCTGAAGAGATGAACATGTAAAGAAGTGTTTGTATCTCCTTCCAGTTAATTGCTAAAAATTCTTCCAGGGCTGAAAAGATGTCAGAGAATACAATGAGGGGATGTAAGTCCCTTTTCTAACACCTCTGACCTTCCACAATAACTATATGATCAGACTCCCTACTTCCACACCATCACCTATCTATCCATCCACCCATCCATCTGTCCATTCATCTTCATCATTCTGACACTTCTAATTTTGAATAATTTCAGACCTGTGAAAAAGCTGCAAAAAAAACTATGAAGAATTCCCATATATCCTTCACCCGGATACCCCAAATAAAAACATTTACTTCATTTGCTTTATTATTCTACTTTTCTATGTTGCTTTTTTTCTTAACTGTTTGAGAGTAGATTGCAGACATGATGTCTCTTCAATGTATGTTTCCTAAACACAAGGTCACTGTCTGACGTAAATACAGTGTAATGATCTACGTCAGGAAATTTACCTTGATCAAATCACTTCTGTATTTAGAATAAAAATCTACTCTTCTAGCTTAGGCCCTCTGTGCCCCAGCCTCTGACTCTGTCCTTGATAGCTTTCACCATAGTCCCTCATGCCTACTTATACTCCATCCATACAAGCCTTCCTGTTCCTTGAATGAGCCATGCTTACCCTTGGCTTAGGGCCTCTCTACTAGGCTCCCTCTGCCTGGAATGCCTTCCCAGACTTTTGCATGGCTGGCTTTTCTTCTCACTTCTTAAGAAAAGTCTTCCCTAATCACCAAGCTAAAGTCATTCTCTATCACATGACCTGGTTTTAACATAACTTACCATCATAGGACATTTTACTTATTTCCTTATTTAATGTGCATAGTTTATTTCCTCCAACTAGAATGTAAGTACCATGAGCAGAGACTTTGTCGGTCTTATCATCATTTGCCAGATCCATGCCTGGTGTATAACTGATACTCAACAAATATTTATGGTTGAATAAATGAAATACAGGGTAAGCATCCTTACCCTCCAACTCATATTAATAAGTTTAGTTAACAGAAAATGCTGTATTACACACACTCAAACATTAAGTGTGTGGCCTGCAAATAGATACTGAAAATTCCAAGACAACCTCATTTGCAAAATTTATTTATTTACATTTAAGCAGTCACAGAGTTGTGAGATAGATTAGCGTTCAGACCTCCCAGCTTCCTTGCTGCTGCTGGAGCCTAGAATGTATGAATATGATACTCTTCACAAAATAGCTTTGTGCTGGATCACTCAGATGTATTCCATGGGCAAGTGTCAGGGTGGATCAGTCTGTGATGTCCAGGACACAGAACCATTAGGATGTATAGATAGATAGAAAGAGATGCATTATAAGGAGTTGGCTCACATGATTATGTAGGCTGACAAGTTCTAAGATTTGCAGAGTGAATCAGTAAGCAGGACCCAAGAGACCCAAAAGGCTATCAGGTTCAAGAACCAGGAAGGCAAAAGCAGGTGTTTCATTTCAAAGGCAAGAGGAATTCCCTTCTACTGTGGAAGGGTCAGAACTTTTGTTCCATTGAGGCCTTCAACTGATTAGATGAGACTCACCCACATTTGGGAGGGCAATCTGCTCTACTCAGTCTACTGATTCAAATGTTAATCTCATAAAAACACAGTATCATAGAAACACCCAGAATAATGTTTAACCAAACATCTGAACAACCTATAGCAAAGTGAAGTTGATATAAAATTAACCATCACACAGTGATTGCAATGGGGTGTGGGGGGGACTTGATAATATGGGTAAATGTAATAACCACAATGTTGCTCATGTGAAACCTTCCTAAGATTGTATATCAATGATACCTTAATAAAATAAATAAATAACCATCACCCAAGGTCCTATCACTGACCTTCTGTTTCCTGGATTCGTTTCCCATACTCATAGACCCAGTTACCTTCCAAATGACTCTTAGGTGATGAGGTTCTTCAACTCACTTCTTTTTAAGGGTTCCTTCTCATTCTATGAACAGTTGTAATCACAGCTAATAATAACAGTTTACATTGACTACTTAGTATTTGCCAGATGTTGTCTTGAGTTCTTTACCTATATTATCTAATTTAAACTTCACCAAAAAATACATGAGGTGGGACTATTCTTATCCACAGTTTGCAGATGAGGGAATTAGGGCTCAGAAAGGATAAATCACTTGCCCCAGTGTTCACAGTGGGTAAGCAGAATGGTATGAGAACCTAGGTCTGCTTCCTATGATCTTTTAAAATACATTTTAAAAGTTCAAACATCCATGATCTTTTAAAATATGTTTCACTCCTTATTTTCCCCCAATTTTTTAATGTTTTATTTTGAAACCTTGCAAGCTGCACTGTTTCTTTCCATAGCCCATCCTCTTAAATTGACCATGTGATAAAAGCAGAGAGTGTACACGAGGTATAGTAGAAGCATAAAACAAAGAGTGCCCAGAATGTCAATGAAGTTAGAAAAAAAGTAGCACAGACGTGGGACAGCTAAGTGGCCCTTGAGGTTGGCAGACCATCAGAATTGAAGGGATACATGCATGAAGGACAGAGACCTGTACAACACAAGTTCAGATTGCTACAAGGAGCTTGGTCTTGCTTCAAAGTACCAGGAGGGCAGGGCCATGAAGGGCCATGAGAGGAGGCTTTACAGGTAGTCAGGAACCAGATCACCATGACTTTAGATTGCACTGTCCAGTTTAAGGAGAGATGGGATAAAGATGGCATTGCTGAGGATCCCACTGGAGCAGGCAGCAGGATGAAGACTGGACTGGAGGGGAGCATGTCAAAGAATAGAAGACAGTTAAGGACAGAAAATACAGTTACTTCTCTGCTTCAGCTTTAAAGAAAAGCATATTTTAGCAACTCAGGATGCTGTGGTCAGACATGCTCAAATAGATGAACTAGCAGTATACACAGTGGGAAGTAATCCATTGTCCCCTCATTATCAACTCAAGTTAACATAATTTAGCAAAGTCATGAATACATTATTTCACTCACACATGTATTGAGTGCCTGCTTTTCCAGGCATCTCTTAGAACCAAGGATACAGAGGAAAAAAACATCCCTACCTTCGCAAGGCTACATTGCAGTGAAACAACAGTCAAAAAATATAAATTCATAAGTAAAGTATAATTTCAGGTGGAGTTAAGTACTGTGAAGAAGAGTAAAGAGTGAGTTTGCAGGCTGGGTGGAAGATGAGTGACTGTTTTAAACATGGTAGTCAGGGAAGGAACCTCTGAGGAGGTAACATTTATACAGAGAATTGCATGGTGTAAGGGATTGAGACAGGAAAAATCAGGGAGAACCTTCTAGGCAATAGGAACAGTACATGAAAAGGTCCTGCAGCAGGAACGAACTTGGTGTGTTCAGAGGAGAGAAAAAGGCCAGAGTGGCTTGAGTAAGCTAGGAGATGAGTAAGAGGGTATGAGTCAGAGAGGAGAGGCCAAGGCCAGGACATGGGAGCCACCGTACAAGAATAAGATAGTGATGACCAACCTGACACCAGGAACACCACAGAGCAGGAAAGCTTGTGAGCAGGAACTTAGTTCCTCTGAGGAATTTACATGGGGTGGAGAAGGATATAATGAGAAAGATGAATTTCTGGAGTGTAGAATGAGTTTACATGAACCTTGATTTACAAAATGACCCAGTAAATCTATGGCTGATGTTGATCCTCATTTACTTTGTGTTAACTTTGAAAGTTAAGTATAGCTAAGGATTCCTCATTCATTTCTTTCTTCTCTGTAGAAGGGAATAGACAAGGAATTTTACTTACTATTCACAGTCTTTGATGAGAATCTGAGCTGGTATATTGATGAAAACATTCAGAAGTTTACCTGGCGTCCCTTCAGTGTTGACAAAGAAGACAAAGAGTTTGTGAAGTCTAACCGTATGCATGGTATGAAAAATGATTTTCCTTCGTATAAAGAAAAGATGTAATTGCATTCGAGGTGAAAATGTTTGGAATGCTTTAAATATATTAATTTTGGTTTCTTGGGTTCTGCTCTTGGTTGTGAGTAAATTATTTCATGACTTCAGCCTCACAAAGTATGATGAAACCTCTCTATCTTCCAGAGCTGTTGTGAAACTTAATTAATACTTCCAAAGCACTTTATAAATGTTAGATGAAGCAACACAAAATTTGAACTAGCGAAGATTACAGTACATTATAAATACAGAAAATTACTGACAAAATGCCCTCCCTTGGGTTCACAATAACATCATTAAGTCTGATAACCCGAGTCATAATTGGAGAGAGTCATTATACAGCAAAGGATGTCTTCTCAAGTCATATAAGTGACTGTCTAAAGTGTCAATTTGTAAAATACCAGTCATTCCTATCCCAGATCTTCATTGAGAGGAATTACTTAATTCTCCTTCTATGTCTCTTTTACATCAGTTGTTAACAATAGCAAGTTACCTTGTAATTGGTCTAACACAGGATTCTTATTAGTCTTGGGCACATCACCAAAGGTAGCGGAGTGATGTACAAGTGCCCAAACTCATATGCCTGCAAGACGGTGTGATCAGCAAAAGTTCCTGAAGCAAACACTGTCAGATAGGTGCTACACTGCTTGTTTTAGGAACCTCTCTCTATTGCTTTTGAAACATCACGGGAAAATAACAAAACAGCCCTTAAGCTTCTCAACCCACAGAGAAGTTCACAGAAGTCCAATGTCCCAAGTGACCCCAGCAACCGGCTCACAGACTCTGCATGATCCTGAATGCTCTGTTCCAACAGAATCCTTTCTTGGAAAACCCAGAATAACACTTTTCAGTGTCATCTTCTACAAAAAGCTTTGTTACAACTGAGTATGAAATTTGTTTCCAGTCTTCCTAGTAGCCAATAAAGAAGGGAAACTGAACTAGAAATTAGGAAACATAGCAATTCCTTAGTGGAGAAACTAAGTCGCAAAGGAAATTTACCATAAGAGAGAGCTGTTTCTCAAAAATATTAAACAACCTAATGGACCATGTCAAATCCAGCCCCATCCTGATTTGGCAATGCGAAATACGTTTTCATATTTTAGACATGCAGAATATGTTATTTTTAAAGCAAAAATCAAGGAAATTAATGTATTTTCATTTAAATTTCACATTAACTATAAATCAAATTCTATGTCTTTTCTCATTTGCATGGAGTAGGAGGAAAAAGATGGCAACAATAGCAGAGACACGGTGCTCACATGTATATGATACTTTGCATTAAACCTATTATGTAATCTACAATCAAAGGTGTTTGTTGAAAGAATGAATGTTCCAGAAAGACAGGCTTTAGAGTTTCAAAGCAAGAGAAGGTTCTCCACCAGCCAGTCAAGTACCAAATTATTAGCACCTCTATTTATAATCTTATCTAAAAAGAAATCCTGCCATTTGCAACAACATGGATGGATCTAGAGGGTATTATGTTCAGTAAAATAAGTCAGGTGGAAAAAGACAAATACCATATGATTTCACTCATTTGTGGAGTATAAAAACAAAGCAAAACAGGAGCAAAACAACATTAGACTCATCGTCACTGAGAGGTGACTAGTGGTTACCAAGGGGGAGGGCGAGGAGTGGGGGAGGGGGACTGTTGAACCCCTGTGATGTACATTTGGTAATAATAAAAAAGATATTTATAATGTTATCTTTTTAACATTTAATGGCCCACATTTAGATAATTTATTTGCAACAGCATTACCAAAGAATTTTTTTTTTCCAGAAAATGTGATGTTCTCAGAAGCCCCAGGGCTTCTTGGAATTTGTACTAATAATCCCAAATATTTGAGTAAAGTTACCAAGCACCACTGGTTCTGCAGATACAGAAATAAAAAGTAATTTTATTTGATAATGGCATTATAACAGACGATCATTCGTGTGTA